GGGTGGAGTGACAAAGATGTATTTAACAAAATGTAAACAGGAATACACTGGAGAAACGAACTCAAAAACTAATTCAAATAAAGTCCAGCAAAATCACAAGAAATCAAAGTCGCAAAAAACCTCAGACAGAAAACAAAACATGACGTGCACACAGCAACAAACAAACAGCAACAATGACCCGACAGCGAGTGGTCATGCTGGGAGTCCTTTTAAACAAACAAACTAATGACACAATGACCAACAGGTGTGCAGCTGCAGGCGGAGCCCTACAGTGCCACCTGTTGGCCACAAACAGAACCATGACATCAATATTATTAAACACAACACAGTCGGACAGCACGGGTTACACACGCATGCTACCGTTTTTTTTCTTAAGCTAGCATACGTTTTACCCTGCTAGCGGCCAATAATACAATGCGCCTTGTGTATGTGCTCAATACCGAAATAGCAGCCGTAACTGACACTACGCCTTTTAATACGGTGTGTCGCATGTTCGTGAAAATGCGGTACATTTAAATCTAGCTAGCTAAGTAGTTTTAATACTGCAGACTACCCCCTTTAAAGTCATACGTTGATTAAATATCACGTTTCACCTTTTCTTTCAAGTGACAAACAAAACGCTTCGAAATATCGTATTGCGGACCTGTTGAAAAAGCTCTGTTGGTGTGACATCATCCAAACATTTGAACAGGGTTACCTTCGAGCAACACAAGAAAGTAATTGCTCTAATTCTCATTACGGCAGTCGAATGACTTTCTTAACCCCGTCTGGCTGATGAATTTCAACGCAAACGTTTCTCCATTCTGTTACATCGTGACATCACCTACTCTTCTCTTCAACCTTGTGGCTTTATTCAGCTTTCAGATGTAATCACATGACTTGCAATATGTTGGTATAAGGAAGCCACAATTGGAAGAACTAACCTCAAGGAAGTCGGGCAGCAGAATGCGATTCTTTTGAAATTGCACGATCACAAACGGCAAAGCTAATGAGAGGCACTGGCGCGAGTTCTGAGAAGACATATGACACGAGACTCGTGGGAAAGCCCAGCACGTTCCTGCACGTCGATGGACATACAATCAGATGGAGGGACAAGAAATTTCCTGATCAAGAAGATTGGGATGATTTTCCCAGCAGGCATCTAACAGACCTTCAGGTAAAAGCTGCCGACGACTACACAGATACTGTTAATTAAAACACGTGTTCCAAGTGATTTAATGAAGCCATAAAGCTCTTTTTTTGATGGTTTTTTTCGTCGGCAGCTGATAAATACAGTACACCACTGAACTTGCCGTGAAACGAACCATCAAAAAGAATCATCCCGAAATATGATAAGATGAACAAAAAAAAAAAAAAAATTGTTTGGATAATACAGTATACGGGCTGTTATGTTGAAATCCCCTCCCTACGCAAGGATGATAAACACTTCGGAGCGGTGCGCGGCGATAAGCGCAAAGCATGCATGGCTCAGAGCTGTGCTTAAAGTTTGTGGTTCAGTTAATTAGTTTCAAAGACAGCGGCGCGGCGGCGCGCAAGCTTCGCTAACAGCGAAGCGATGCATCATAATGGCGGGGGGGGTTCAGAAGAGGTGGAGGACGACACGCTTCTCTGGGCGGGTGGTAGTTTTGTGGACCGTGTCTCAAATGGACAACAGTTATGAGCACCACTAGGCCGAGATGAAGGAACACCCCTTAAAAGCTTCGATGGAAATTGAATCCACTTGCGCTCCCACCAGCTGAGGCTAGCTTGATCGGTGGGGAGGAGTCTTTGTTTTTTTAATCAATCCATCAAGAAGGTCACTGGTGGGAGGGATGGTGTCTGTGGCCCATCTGGCTCTTAAAATCCCCCTTTTGTTATTTACAAATTGCCTTTGTTGAAACATGCCCTCCCCAGGTCTTCCAATTCATCCATCCATCCATTTTCTAATACGCTAGCCCTGGTTAGCCGAACCCCGAGATTGGCCACCAGTCAATCACAGGACACATATCAGCAAATGAAACAAATTGCATGGATACCTGCGAAAAGTTCTGTGTCGTCAATTAACCCAACACGTGTTTTTGGAATATGCGCAAGAACAGAAAGACAGAACATGCAAAATCCACAACTCGGATATCCGATCCCCCAAACCATAAAACAGTAAGGCAGATGTCTTACACGAGGCAGCTGCGTCTTGATACAATTTGTATTTCTCTTTCCTGCAGTAATATTTGGAAAGAGGAGAATCAAACAATTCAAACGGGGATGAAAAAGCTGAGACCAGGTGCAATGTGGAGTCTGCATGACTCATAAAATGAGAACAGTTCAGGGGAAATTATGTGTTCCCATCATAACTGCTGACATTTGTATTCGAAACACTGCTGCATCTAGCTTTGTGTATCTCGACACAGAGCTGTGAATGCCTTCAAACAATGTGGGGGGTGGGGGGGGGGTAGGAAGGACAAATCCCTTCGTGTCTTTGTGGAGATGGCGTCCACGTAAAGATAGGATAAGTAGGTGTAGCTATACTGCAGTTACTCAAAGCAAAATTCCTGGTCCAGTGACCCCCAATGACTCCCCCCCCCTGCTTTTAACACGACTAAATTGAACACAATTGCGTCGTGATTGGGGCTCGGCCAACTTTGCAACAGACCTATAAAATCTCAGGGCAGGAGTTCCCTGGGAATTGGAAACAATGCAAAAGAGCCAAGACAATGTCCGTAATCAAAATTTGGTTGCAGGCGGAACAAAAGATGGACACCGGAGGGACACTGAGACCCAGCCAGATGCTTAAGAGCGTCTGGGCGAGCGTTCTAGTGGCTCGAGGCGTGATTTTGTTATGGGAGACAAAAGCATCTGCTACAAAAGCCATGACTCGGAAAAGTACGATGTCTGCAGTAGTAGTCCGTAACATTTTGTCCCCTTCTTAAACTGATGACCTGACACGATTTCGAAATGTCAGTGGACTCGGGTGTCGTATATGAACGCTGTTGATTTGCTGAAACCACCAACGGAAGAAGTGAACGGATGATATAACTCCTGTTAAAATATGACATCTTGGAATTACAACACAAAGCGTATATACACATCCCACACGGGTCTGTGTCTCTTTGGAGTCTCATCACATATCAAGGCAGACGTGTTAAGTGAAGCGTGCCGCTTTGAGAGCGCTTGGCATCGTCTTCATATTTTGTTTGCAGCGACTGTTGACAAAGGCGTGGCTGACGCGCCCGGGAAGAAAGTGGAAGAACTCTAACGTGCAGTGTGAGCGCTCGGATCGTAGTCAGGTCGGTCCATCCGAGTGTAAGCAGCTCAAACGTTCGATCTGATTTGCCACAACGCAATTTTCAAAACGGTATGTATAGGACGTCGATACGAAGGCATAAATGCCCGTTATCCCTTTTCTGTCGACATGTTCTTGCAGGAGAAGTTAAACATTTGATTGGGTTTAGAAATGCCAGGTCGGTGTGGGAATACTAGTCCATGTAATGATTGTCGACAAATCACATCTTGAAGCATTTGAAGCAAAATGGGAGTGCGTTAAACGTGGAGTTCGGTCAAAATGACATCAATCGCATTTGCATGCAAATCAAAACACGCGCGACGCTTCGATTTATTCTTCTCCGGCTTCTTCTAAAGCAGACAAAGAAGACACAAACGTACAGGACAGAAAAGTACAGAACCGTCGTCACGGCAACTTGGTTTTCGAGGTCGACAAGGACTCACAAGGCATGTTAATCCATCAGGATTGTAGCTTTGGCTGCAATGTGATGCGAGATTCTGGTTGAAGGAAGCCATTTTAAGATAAAAAGGAATACTTTCATGTGGTTCGTATGCAGATGCTTTGTCTTCCTTGTGTCCTGCGGAGGCGGAGCTCCAATTTTTGAACGCAATGAAGAGCTATCTAATGTTCATGCTCTCGATTTTTATAAAACACAATTCCGCTTAAAAAAATGACTAGCCTGATTTAGAAGAAAGGAAAAATAGCAAGAAAACATGCAAAAATAGCGAGACAAAACAGCGATAGATTAAGTTCTGGTCACAAATGAAAACCTGCGATTGAGTGAAGCCGCAATAACCGAACCGCAAAGTAGCGATGGAATGCTGTATACCACTCACACACACAATTTTAATCTCACAAATTATGACTTTATTATCGAGTTTTGTTTTCGGAGTAATGCATACGCCTTTGAATATTTGAATCTCAGCATTTACAAAATCATGATGGATCCAAAACGTTTTGATTGAGTACAACAAGCAATGTACATTGAAAATGTACAGCTGTTTATGTAAATCTAGAACAGTGTTCTAAGGATAGTTTTATTCTCATAAAATCACAAGTTCCCTATTATGGCGTTCGTTTTTGTTTTTTTTTTCCAGGATATCTCAAACGCTCCTTTGTACAGGACGAATCAGCAATGCATTCACAAAATGATTTTAGATCACAACTTTTGGATCCCAATTCACGCATACATAACACGATTTACTCCAGTTTCTCCAATATTCAGAACGTGCTCATCAACATAACAATGTCATGGGCTGCCGCTAAGCTCCGCGATAAAATGTACACACACACACACACACACACACACACACACACACACACACACACACACGCGCACGCACGCACTCACGCGCGCACACACAAAGTGTCTTCGTGACACATTTCCGAAGCATGACTGAGAGAAAACGGCATATCCAATAAAGTCGCATTGTCTCGCGCTGTCACAGAGCTGGAAATGCGCCTCGTTTCGTGTCAGCGGGCTGCGCGACAGCCAAATAGAAGACATCGTACGTGTGTGCGTGGATTTATTTACTCGGAGCTTCGGATCCAATTTATTGCGCGACCTCACATCACGGCTCTCCATCACTTGCTTTGGAGCGCCCTTTGATTCCTCCTCTCATCAACATCCGGGCTGCTTAATATTCAGAGAGTTTTGCCATCTAACATCCACCCCCCCCCCAAAAAAAAGCAGAAGCATACGGATCTATTTGAACGTCAAAAGAAGGGACAAACTTCTTACCACCCCGGTGTCCTCCCGCACGGTTTGCGGGGGAGCCGCTCGGCCCAGATGCAGAAGCCACAGAAGGGGCACCAGAAGCAGCATCTCCGCGCATATATTCCTCCTCCACTCGGAAAATAACCGGAGCCAGGTTGGTCCCCGAAGCACCATCCACGTCGCGGGACAGTGCTCCAGCGTCACGCGCGTACAAACGAAAAAAAAAAAAAAAAAAGGAACGAAAAAGATTTAGAAAGACTTCACCGGCTACCTCACTGTGGAGCGCAAACACACAAAACGCATAAAAACAGGTGGCCGAGGAAGTTTGCTTTCCGGGTGAGGAGGAGCTAAGTGGCCATCGTGAGCGACTCGTAGCGGGCTCGGTGCTTTCTGTCTCCCGAGCAGCAAATGGAAGCAGCTGCGCTGCGTGGGCTTTTTGTGCCTCATACACGTTTCGAAGTCACACGAGTGGACTGGAGAGGTTGGATTCGACGAGGGGGGAGCAAGAGGAGAACGGGGGGGAAGTGGGCGGGGGGATTCTTGAGTAATGTGAGATGGTTGTGGGTTAAGTTCAAAAACTAACACACAACAGCAACTTAAGGTCTATCTCAAATCGTCCTTCACCACCGGAATGAGTGGAAATGCCATTAATCAGTTCCAGTTCCCATAAAAACAGTTCCCATAAAATTTGTAACATGATTTATAATGACAAAATAGTACTGTTATTTTCTACTTAAAAGGTATCTTGGAGGCCACAACTGCCCATTTTCCACTCAATAATATTTTTTGATCAAGAAAATGGCAAGGATAGTCATGCCTTGAAATCAGTGTCAAATCAAATTGATTTTGAAGTTGGACTTTGTCATGCACTTCACATTTAATCTCTTTGAGGTCACTGAACAAAACAACTGGAAGGCTCCCGGGCTTGTTCCTGTTACCATTTTTAATGAAAATCCTTTTGGTTGACATTTATAAAATCAAAAGGCATACCTTGGGGACCCATCACAATTGACAATAAAAATGTTGTCAACCAGGGAAGATGCTTTATCTTCCTAGTGAGCTTAGGGACATGCTCTTTAAAATGCAGCAGGGTGAGCTGTCAGAGCTAATTACTTCGGCTCTCTCCCATTGGTTTTCCTGATTTCATATTCCCTGTGTGGATAGTATTTTATATCTTGTCTTTTAGAAAATAAAAACATGGATTTTTGAATTTGAATTACTTCGCATGATCCTTTTTTTTTTGTAAGACAAACCTCAGTGTCTTGTTAATGGTACTAGTGGACACTTAAATATTTCCCGAAAGTTTAAAATCTCACCTCAATTGTACGATGTCCACTGGCCACCAAAAGATTGAAGGATAATTATAGGAAATGCCCCAAATCCAGTTGGATTTGGGGCTCGTAGGCCAGTGCCTCTCAAATCACGCTTTCCTTTGGTGACAGCATTGTTGCTAATCATTTTCACACGTCAGGGTATGACTACACTTTTTCTGTGTTCTATCCTGAAAGTAAAGATTTTGGGGAAGAAAGACTTCAGCTTCTTGAAATTAGTCTTCACTCATTTCCAGATCTCTGCTCATGGATGAAGACGCCAATAATCAAGGATTTTTAATCCAAATTCTAATACGCGGTGCAGTATCATATACCTTGTCTTCACAAGCCACTTCCATTGTTGCTAATCATTTTCACACGTCAGGGTATGACTACACTTTTTCTGTGTTCTATCCTGAAAGTAAAGATTTTGGGGAAGAAAGACTTCAGCTTCTTGAAATTAGTCTTCACTCATTTCCAGATCTCTGCTCATGGATGAAGACGCCAATAATCAAGGATTTTTAATCCAAATTCTAATACGCGGTGCAGTATCATATACCTTGTCTTCACAAGCCACTTCAACTCAGACAGCCGGAGTCACAAATGGGGACAGGGGGTGAGGAGGGGGAGGGG